GGATCTAGAGTTCGAACTTTGAGCCTTTGGTAGAGGACATGAGGATGTTTTCCAGGAGCATCAGGCCATGGTAGTGGATGAAAACGAGGTATAACATGTATGACCTCAACTTCAATCCAGATAAGCACAAAAATATTGTCTTAGTTCCTTTAGTTTTCTGAATACCATATTTAAACAAGAGTCTTTAGACCTATTTTACCCTATTTTTATCCGTCTTAGATCCATTCTCCAAGGGGATTCACCAATACCATTAGGTTTCTACCTTGTTTATGTTAGACTATTATAAATTGATTGAACCAATTCATCCCAAAAATCACATCAAATCTCATTATATCCAAAATAGTGAAGTCCATATCCATTTTTCAATGTCTTTACTTCAACTTTTGTTTGTCAAAGTACTTCATTAGTGCTTTGAATACCTTGAAATCCTCAATTCTCCCAATTATTACATTGTTAGTTTGACTTGCTAAACTATGTCTTATGACAATTGTAACAATGCTAGATACTTCTCAAAAAAATATCCCTACCTGAAGAAAGCCAAAATCAACATAGCTATTAAGTTAAGTGAAGTTCAAATAAAGGTATGTGATTTAGTCTTTAGCTTAAAACTACTCATTAAATAAGCAACTTTGGTAAAGAGTCATTTACAACATTTATTAGCCCTTCAAGAGAAGATTAAAGGTAGTTTTATTAAGGCTTTAGACAATTTTGTATTGTTCCATATATTATTAATGGGTTTAATCTTTTTATTAGTGGATTTGTCCTTTTTGGCATGATTCTTATGTGTGCTTACTTTTTGACTATTGAATTTGCCTTCTGAAATTTGAGGATTCATTCTTATGATAATTCTTCTTGAATTTCCCCTTTCTATATGTTCCTCTTGGTTTGGATCTTTTGCTAAATATGAATTTAATTCCCTTTTATAAGTTTTTATTGAAATATACTTTGATAACAATATCTAATATGTCCTTATAATTTGTCAGATTCCAATATATCATCTTGCCCCGAGCCCAAATTTGCAATCTTGAGATAAATGTATAGAATGCATTTATATCGTCAATATCCATGACAAGGATCCTTTTGGTCATGAATCCATTCATATACTCTTGAATGCTTTTATTTGCCTTAGCTTACATAACTCATCCCTTAGATGTAAAGTAGTATTTGGGGGAATTTAAAATACTTTAATCTTCACCTTCATCACTTCCTAAGTAGCCATTAATTTTTCATTAACCTTTGTTAGTTTCCACCAAAACTTAGTATTATCTACTAAGTATATTTTTGCATATGGGACCTTTTATAAGTTTGATAATTGCAATATTTAGAAATAATCTTCCATATCATAGAACTAATCCTTCACCCCTTTATAGTTATTAACTTTTAAGACTAGTGAGGCTTTGGTTTGTGTTTTGGAATTGCTTATGGGATAGATTCTATCTTGATTTGCTCAACTTATTCTAGTTTAGCCTTAGTACATGTCAAATGGTCTATACTTTTTACATTTTTAATATCTATAGTGTTTTGTTTTCTCTTCCATTTCTCATCATGTTTTTATTTACATATGAGGGTCTGTAATATGTGCCAATTATCCTTCCAGAGTGTCCAATTGAGCATTAGATGACCTCATCTCACCTCTAAATTCACATTTAGAAGTCTCTATAAGCAACCAAAACATGATTTATAAAGGTTTAAATATAAAGGGAAAGGGTTTATAAATAAAAGTGCACCTCCTTTTCCAATTGGTTAAAGGTATTAAGATATTTAGGGTTAAATATCCTTAGGTTTGAATAATATTGGGCTAGGTGACTTCCTAAAAAGTTCAAATTCAGGAGTTTATAGTCTCCTTATTGGATTTTTTTTTATGTATATAGAGATTATTCATCCATTGCTTCTTATGTAACTAAAGGCTCTATCTCCATAGGCAATTCAATCTCCACCTTTATTCACTTATGTTATGCTTTAGCTATTTCCCATTTATCCACTTTTATCCTTCATTAGAACTAAGAAAAAGGCTTTGATTATAAACCACAAGATTTTCCTTTCCCAATTTGTCAATTTACCTTACTTATTTGACTATTTTTTACATTGGCCGTAGTTAAGTTCTTTTGTCAAAGTCCACTCTTATTATACCAACTTTTACTTAGTCTTATTTGGCTTCAACTACTCATTGCACGAGTAATAGGTGTTAATCATCTTTTCATAAATTCCTAAACTCTTTTTCCCAATCCCCCTTTCTTCCCAAAATAGATTAGATTAATGTTCAACTACATTCATTGCAAATACAAGTAGTTAAACACACCAAGCCTCCAAATTTTTATCATCCTTTAGTATGATAAAATTTATTCATGGGACCCTTAAATTCTAAACCTTGAGTACATTTTATAGTTCAAGACTTCAGGAGGAAACATTATAACCTAATGACCCAATATAAGTATCTTACCCCACCTCTATCCCAAATGGAAAACTTAAGCCCCATAGGAAGGGGTGACGACAAATGAACCATATAGTACTCAAATAGGCACTATTTTACCTTATTCGGGAACACTACATTTACTTTTCCTTCAAAAAATGGGAGTTATTTTTGAGTATGTCCTTCAGGGACTTCCAAGGCTATTAACCCTCAATTTGAACCCTAATACAATTTGGAAATACTATTGGAGAATTCCTTTAAGACTTGGTCCTTAGCCTCATTTTCTTTATTATACTTTCTTTATTATACACTTGCACCCAAGAGATCGAGTGTTTTATACTTTCACCCTATGACCTATATTAATATTTGGACTCATTTTCAAACTTAGTCTTGTCTAACCCAAATTTTTTATTATTTCAATTATGATTTTGGGATCATTTAGCCTATGATATTTTAAAGAGTTTGTTCCTTACAACCATCAATCTTGCAGTTCATTATGAAAATGGGCTCTAAGAACAACTTGAATGACCATATTATGAATGGTAGTTCAATAAATAGCACAATATATTTCCTTTACACCACCTCATTCGGATGGCAATAATGTAGCATCCATGCAAATTAATGTTTTTAGTTGTCTACCACCTCACATCTGTGAAATAATAATATTGCACCAACAACCATCTATATCTCTATTATGGTGATCTAGACCATAGTGTTGCTAATTGCCTAAAGATGTCCATGATAAATGCAGCCCCTAACCTATGCTATAGAGAAACAAAGACTAGCACATTTAAGGTTGTTTTATCTCTTTATTGTTCTTTAGGCTTGTATTGCATCTTTCCATTTTATTGCCTTAGGGGATAGTGGAGCTAATGCAAATTTCATAATTGGGAGTTTGCTTTAGCTCCTAGCATAAAATTATGACCTCTTCCACATTATTATCATGCCAATATTTGTTAATGGTCATCAACTTGCATCAGGGGCAATCATACATGATATAAAACTTATTGATGTTGATATTCTTTAAAATCATCACCATTTTGAAAGTATATATCATATTGGTTTGATATTTATATGTCACAAGGGTATAGAGTTCCATTGGTGCTTCATTATATAAACTCACGAGATTATTAAATATTAATTCATTTTCCCAATTTTAGTTTGTTTAAAAGCTCCTTGCCCAATAGAAGGGACCATATCATGTATTTTGGTAAGTTAGACTTCAAATTTATAAAGTTTGGCACAATATTCAATAAATTAATCTTTCAAAAATTATATATGTGCAACAGGTGAATTACACTTAGTTGCACTGCCTATAAATCCACTAATGCCTCTTCTTAATGTTCTTTTAGATCCTAACCCATTAACAAAAACACTTTAATTGCCTTTTATCCTTCTAAGAGGAAGTTTAAATGTATAGTTACAATATTGTATATTATTATTAGTGTAGTGGGATTTTGATTGGATCAAATTAATTTTAATTTAGACCACTCACTCTTCTATATAAGATAAGGCTATATATATTACTATATTTTATACATTTATATAATCAATTATTATTAAATATTACCAAAATAATATTATTCTAGTATTTAAAATTAATTTAAGGTAATTTATAATTATTATTTTATTTTCTAATTTCAGACTTTTTAGACTATCTTATGTGACAGCTAAATTGGAGTTTTAACAATCAAATAATCCCATTTTAGTATCCAGAAATACAAGCTTATTAAATACATGAATGTGATACTTAACCATCTTATGAATAACTACCATTTAATATTTTAAATACTATTTTAAATAATTTAACTTATCTGAATTTAGTGGATAAATATAAATAATTAGCAATATTAGTAAGTATTTATTATTTTTTGTGTTTACTATTTTACTAAAATTATTTCAAAAGAATCTTGAGTCTTAACAAAAATAAGAATCTTCAGAAAAGTTTAATACAACCAACTAGCTAAGACATTATGAAATAATAAATTGTTTTGGAGTATAATTTTTCTTGTAAAAAATAGCTTTAGTAACAAACTATATCACTAATCAGACCTAACAACCTTTATAGACCAATTCGAGCCCTTAGAATAGTTTTCTCATACTTATTCATATTTGGTTATAAATATTTTGCATCATAGGTATTTTAAAAATAACAAGAAAAAATTTGAAATTTCTGGCTACAAATAATCTAGAAATAAGTATAACTTCATTCCTCTTAAACTAAACACAAATTTTGTGTAATAATATATTAAATATTAGTTTTTAAACTTTATTTATATTTCTTCCAAAATTATATATTGAGTATTCACCCAACATTTCCTTGGCATTACTAATCTATCTATAATACTAAAAATTTCTTTTTATGCTAACAGTATTATTCGTCCTCAAACTATGGTTCTGTGAAAAACTTTAATGGATGTTTTTAGCGGGCCAATGAGCTTCGGGCACGTGTCCAAGGCTGGCGCCGTCTCGGACGCTGACGTCATACCCATCTACGGCGGCGGCGCCAGCGTGGAGCGATCCTGCCCGTCCGCAGAACTGGCAATGGAACTTGCCAAAGCCTTCCAAAATCGTTGCCCGGCTCATTTTCTTCCACTCTAGGTTCTATCATCGATGAGAGTGTGGGAATGTGGCCAGTCTCGGGACGTCGACGCACGAGCTTTTCCGTGAGGTAAGCCCAATTCGAGCTAGAGAGCCAGCCGAGGGTTCCAAGCATGGTCCGGGTGGAAGACTTTGAGCTCCTGGTTTTGGTGTTCTTCCTCCGTGGATGTGAGGGAGCTGACTGTTTGCTATTTGCTGGATGCAGGGATGGAGGAGGTCCCGCCTTGCCAAAGCATTTGTCTTCCTTATGGTGCGTATTCTAAACAAGCAAGGTGCCATTGAATTTAAAATATAGCATTGACTGTCTCTTAACAGAGCCTTGCTGGTAATCTCTTCCACAGCTGCTATTGCATTTCCAGCAGCTCAAATGATGTTCTTAGACCTGGAATGAAAGTTCGTGACAGGAATTCACTTCATTTCTGATTCGCTCCAGCTTAATCAATGTTTGCTTGACCCATCCATCTTCAGCTTTAGGAAGTAAAAATAGACTTTTTTTCCTCTTCCAGGTGTGGGTTTTAAGCCAGGGTTCCCTGATGGGTGGAGCTTAGGAATTGAGAGGAAAAGAGTTCAACCATGAACTCTTTCACATAATGGAATATTTCTTGATGAAATGTGGAACTTTCAGGTTTGACTTGAAGCACAACTTCTGGCATGAAACTACAATTTCTTTGCATAAATCTGATTGATCACCCACCGACGTTCTGGAATGGAATCCTCTCTCTCTTAGAGCAAAAATAAAAGGCAAGACAGAAAAAAAAGAAAGAGCATTCAGTATACACATTATTAGGTAGTGCACTCCAAAAAGGTTGGACTTGTACAGCCCAGGCACATTGTTAACATGGATATTCGTTGTCAATCGCCTCAAGCCACAGTTGTGGCTGTGACACAAATAATGCGAGAAAAGAGATGGATAAATGGGCCACTCCAAAATCTCGCTTTCGAGATCCGAAGTTTCCTGCTGGAGGTTAAAGCTGCATATGTGTCAATCCAGGAGAGCTACACACACGCACAATCCATAGGCCCCGCCCTCGTGATCTTTCTTCGTTCCCCACCTCCCTCATAATGCAAAAACTAATCTTAAAAATGGGTAGACTACCGCTCTCCCATGTAATTTCCTCGCATTAGCAGCATTTGCCGGATCACGGCATTTGCACTTAAAAGTCGAGATCGCCAACTTTTGACATCATTTGATTCGTTTCACGTGTTGTGATTTGAATTGGCCACGCTCTTGCAGTTTGCACTCGATCGATCTTAGCCAGCAGCAGCAGCAACAGTGCCTGAGCGGATCGAAGCCAAGATTCCTTGAAACTGGAGGTTGGGCGAGGATAACTCTTGGAACTTTGCTTCTTTGTGGCCTCATCAACAACCACATGTGTACATTGCATGGGGGAAAGGGAATCATCCCTAATCATCTCGCTTCTGCCACCCTTTTGCAATCATGCAACAAGCGAGCAGTGAGTGGAAAAGGATTTGTGGAGAAAAGCTATGGTGGCCAATGGATAGGCCAAAGTTGCGACGAGTAGTGTTCCTCGTGGTGGGGTGTTTCTGTTATTGAGTGGAATGTTAGCAAAGGGAAAATGTGGCAAGCTTGAGAGCACTGGACACGCCGCCAAAAGGGGTGAGAAAAATAAAAAGGAAGAACCACTCCTCATAGATATCAGGAATGTCAACACATTATAAGGTGAGGGGCCGAAATGCGAAATTGGCGTTGGAATCTTATACGATCATCCATGATTGACTTCGATCACAGCCATAACTAAAGAGAAAAAGAGTGAGCAATCCATCTCTCAAGTATAGCAAATTGGTAGACATGGGATTGGGCGATTGGATCTCATCTTTGTCGATCTGCCAAACTTCTGGGGCTCGAAAACGGAAGCTTCATGAGAGGTTCATGGAATGGATCTTATTTTTTCTTTCTTTTTCTCCTTAGCTGGTGTGCACTTTGATTCATGGCAAAGAAACACATAAACACGCAAATTGCCAACTGCGATGATAACCTGCTGGGCGCCACCTCTCTTTAGCTTTTTGGGAGGAGTTTTCTGGACCTTGGAAGAGAGAGAGTTTCGTTCTGGGCTTTGATATAACTAAGAGCTTTTCTTCAAGCGAGATCGAGTGAGAGTGCTCCCCAGGTTAATGGACAAGCACTTTTCCAAAGTCAAAAGTTAAGCAGTCCTCGTTGTTAAGTAGGGAAGCCAGAGATGGTTTCTGCTTTCTTTGCCCCAACAAAGCAGGAATCAAAGATCAAATTTTGCTTCATTAAAGTATAAAGACTTGGAGCTGCAATACAGCCCAAAATTGACCGCCATTCTTTGAATCAATTATTCAGTCGATTGATCCATGGATCCATGACTTATTCCTGGTTCCGTTGCTTGAAAGACTTCATGCTAGATACCAGAGTTTACAAAGCTAAAATTCCAGCCCGTCCCCAATCATACCTTGTACTTAACGTAGATTATTCCCAGTCAATTCCTCAAAGAGATTTGGAGCATTGATCTCGCTAAGAAGCAGATTATATTCCCCGATTATTAAGAGCCGCGGTACGCGTTGATTATGACTGGCACGGTGAATCCAGCGTGGTGGCGGCGGCGCCCAATCTCCACCGCAGGCACCAACTATCCAACGGCCCGCCGCCACACACGTGTCAGGCTGGGCGTGATCAGTCATGCGCCGCCGTGGAATATTTTCACGGCCGTCAACCGTCAAATGGCGGATGAAAGTTTTACTATAAAAGCGACCGGTCAGTCAGTAACAAGGTAAAAAAGTAAAGAGTCTAGAAGAGGTACCCAGTTTGGGCATATGCTTTTAAACTCTGTGGTGTGAGTGAGCTTTAGTAGCGCTCTTCTCCTTTGCCCCTACCAGTGTGTTCTTAGCGAGCGAGCCATGGATTCCAAGGCCGATCGCCAGGATTTGCTCTTCTACCTCCTGCCGCTGATCCATTCCAATGCGCCGAGTTTCCTGCCGCTGCTGCTCGCGCTGGGCGCGGTCCTTGCCGCGGCGGTGGCGATCTTCCGCTGGACTAGCCGTGGGGGATGCGCGTGGGCGGATCGATCCAGCACCATCCCGGGGCCACGCGGTCTGCCAGTCCTTGGATCGCTGCTGGAGATGGGCGATCTCGCGCACCACCGCCTGAGGAGCCTCTCGATCGCGCACGGCGCGCGCAAGCTCATGGCGCTCAGCCTCGGCTCCACGCGCGTGGTCATCACTAGCGCTCCCGAAGTGGCGCGGGAGATCCTCACCAGCGCTGCCTTCGCGGATCGTCCTCTCAAGCAATCGGCAGCGGAGCTCCTGTTTGGCCGCGCTATCGGCTTCGCCCCCTACGGCGATTACTGGCGTGGCCTCCGCCGGATCGCCGCCAATCACCTCTTCTCTCCGCGGAGGATCGCCGCCCACGAGCCGCAGCGCCAGCGCCACACCGAGGTGATGATCGATGCCATCGCCAGCGCCGCCGGCAAGGATCATGGCAAGAGCGTCGGGATTCGTGGATTCCTCCAGCGTGCCTCCTTGGCCAATGTGATGCAGGGTGTGTTTGGGCGGTGCTACAGCGGCGCCGAGGAGGCGGAGCTCCAGGCGATGGTGCGAGAGGGATTCGAGCTCCTGGGAGCTTTCAACTGGTCGGATCATCTTCCCCTGCTCCGGGCGATCAATGTGGACCCCCACTCGATCCAGGAGCGCTGTTCCAAGCTCGTCCCTCGCGTCCAGAAGTTCGTCCAGGCGATCATCGACGAGCACCGCCAGGCGCGCAGCGGCGGCGATGATCGGGAGAGCTCCGATTTCGTGGACGTGCTGCTGAATTTGAGCGGCGAGGAGAAGCTACAGGACCAGGATATGATCGCTGTGCTCTGGGTAAGCAAAGCTTGCACGATTCTTTCCACCATAGCTTTGTTTCTTCCTGATCGATTGATTGCTCTCTGTTCTTGGCTAGAAAAGAGGAAAAGCTCTTCCTTTGATCCGAGTCATATCTTTTCTTTTCCAAGCTTTCTTCTTTCCTCTTCTACTTTCTTTCGTGATCCAAGTTCCTTGCTAGTCTCAATCGATCACTCACTCTTTCTTTCTCCCAAAGTTTCGATCGAATGCTTTTTCAGAGTTCTTCTCTTTGATCGATCCAATTCTTACAAAAATCTTCTTTTTCCTTCTTTCAGGAGATGATCTTCCGCGGCACTGACACCACTGCAATCCTCACGGAATGGATGCTCGCGGAGCTGGTCCTCCATCCAGAAATCCAGCGCCGCCTCTACCACGAGATCGAGGAGCTCCAGTCCAAGAAATCGCCACCATCGCCACTCTCCGATCAGGATGTCGCAAGAATGCCGCTACTCCAGGCCGTGGTCAAGGAAACTCTCCGCCTCCATCCACCCGGTCCCCTCCTCTCGTGGGCTCGCCTCTCCACCCAGGACGTTACCATCGCCGGCCACCACGTACCGCGCGGTACCACCGCCATGGTTAACATGTGGTCGATCACGCACGACCCGGCCGTGTGGAGCGAGCCCGAGCTGTTCGTCCCGGACAGGTTCCTCGGTGTGGAGTTTGATGTCAAGGGGACCGACCTGAGGCTGGCACCGTTTGGAGCTGGACGAAGGGTGTGCCCCGGCCGAGCTCTCGGGCTCGCTACTGTGGGTCTTTGGCTCGCCAAGCTCGTCGAAAGGTTTGAGTTTGTGGAGGACAAGGAGCGTCCCGTGGATCTCAGCGAAGTCCTCAAGCTTTCGTGCGAGATGGTGAATCCGCTGAGTGTTGGTGCTGTGGAGAGGTGCCCGATCGCTGCCAGCTCGTGACAAGTTCTCAAGTATCATCGTCGTCTTGGGTGGTTTCAGCAGGGAAGATCAAACAAGGATGAGAAAAGTGAAGAGATCAGCAGCACCACCAACCTGAGCATTTGTAAAAATGCATCGTCATCCTCTCTTCAGTCTTGCGAGAGCTTTGGTTCTTTCGTTTTCTTGCACTTAGTTCCTTTCGTTCTTAGAGATTTTGCTGACTTTCGGGCTCGAGATCTCTGGATTGGAAGTGTCTCCAGAGATCGAAAAGTCCCCTTTTTTTGTACTTGGGGTCTTTCTTCTGTATAAAACTTGCATCTTCTAGAGAACTGTTTCTTTGGTTGCTTCTGCTGATTCGTGCGTTTTGTCGTCAACCTGTCCGAAAGTGGCTTTTGGATGCTACTGTTAAGCTTGAAGAAATTTTCTGCGAGCTCGCTCTCGATCGAAACAACAAAAAAAAAACACTTTTTGGTTCTTTTTTTCTTTTTTTTTGCTGTTTGTTGCTCGTACAATACAAATAGTCGATCTGATCGATCGAGAGCGAGAGCTTCCCTTTATTTTTTCTCGCTCTGGAATCAAGCAAGCCCAAAAGAATGATTGATTGAACAAGCAAAACCGACTAACTGCCGGATCCACAATCGAGACAAATCGAGGAAAGATTGCTGTGTCTTTGATTTTCATTGCTCGCCACTCACCGGGAAAGAGATTTTGGCGGAAAGGCAGTGTTCTCTCGCGAAAATATCTACATGTGCTATGTAATGGAAGTGCAAGAGCTTTCATTCATGCTTGATCGATAATTGCGATGCGTGGTCTCCCCATTTTGAAAAACCATACATAAGTATCATGATCTTTGATGTATAGACCTTCATGTGCTTGATATATCTCGCGATCGTGCTAAAACTTTGGCACCTGTGTTGTAGTCAACCGTTTACTTTGAGTCCACTCTGCGCTGACTTTTCAGAATTTGTGTCGACCAACATGTGCCGGAAGATGCTTTGGAAAATTTGATCAAGAAACGGTGAGATCTGGTAACATGCCATGATAAGAGCTAGCGATCCAGACATTTTGTCATTAAGGTTTTGTTCATGAGATTCATACGCTATCGTCCGAGTGAATGGTTGGCGTGATTCGAATCTTTGATTTGTGAGTTTCGTGTTCCTGTCCAAGTCGAAGGTATGTTGCGACAAGCCGTCCACATTCACCTTGAAACATGCGAACCAAATGGAATATGGAATGAGCGTTAGAATAATCGAGTCTTTGTGAACCATATAAGCCAACCAAACATCATGTGATTCGAGAGAACGAGCAAGTTCAATTCTTCGCAACTCCACAAGCGGAGGGTGATATTGTTTTGTAAGTTCTTGGCACACGACGGGAGGAAGATCCTCATGTGGAGTGTTCCTGGATTGACTGACTGACTCCCAAGTTCATAGGAATAATCTTAGTTTTGGCGGCATAATCTTCGAAGCGTGACCGAGATCCTGCTTTCTTGCGGCACTGGAACTCCATCCCAGATTTGCTGCGCGGGGTTTGTGTTGATTTCGTGCGTCCAGCCGTATCTGGCCTCTCCAGACATGACGAGCAAATCACCCGGACGAAGCAGCACTCCCACTTTTCTGGAGCCATCCTCGCAGCTTTTAAAAGTCATAACTCTGGAGGATACCAGCGACAAGATCACGATTCCATCCTCGAAACGCAAGAGATCAACGTGAGCACCTATTCCCTTTCGAAAGCAAACAACCACCAAAAGTCGGTTCATTTTTTCTCACGAACAAAGATTTTAGAAATGTATATATATACACTGACCTCCAAAGGCTTGTAAGAATTCACGATCATTTGATCGAACAATGGCTCTCTGGATATAACTTCTCGAGCCAAGATCTTGGACCTTTTGGAGAGCTGCTCTTCGAGCACACAGCTATGTACGAGAGCTGATAGATTCAACGCCCACAAAGGCAAGCCTCCAAATCTCATTGCCTGGAAGGTTAGAAAGGTTAGCAAATCAACACACAAAAACAAAGCGAAGAAAAACCACCTGATTTTCGTTTGGGTTTGTAAACCATGACTCTACTACAACATCAAAATCTAAACAGAAAAACCCAATCGAAGACAGTAGATTTACCAGCCTCAATGTCGTCTATAAGCTCCTGTTGTTCGTGATTGGAAAGAAAATCTCGACATATCCAAAGACCCTCGACCTCCTCTACATGCTCCCATTGTCTACAAACATCGATCAAAAAAACATAGAAAAATCAAATCGCAAACTTGCCTCTCGGAGAAGATCCCATCCTCGCCACTATCATCTTCGGAATCCCCAAACACGGCACACAAGAGATTCCTCACCGCCGCCTCGTCCTCCATAGGAAAACCCAAAGTGACGTGTCAACACACGTAGCCTCCACGTCAAGTGAGCATGACACGTCACAGGCCAGGCTAGAGTGAAAATCCGAGACTGCCTAGATTACCTCTCAAGAAAAACCCCTTTTGGCTTTAAATGCGCACTCTCTCTCGATCGAGCCGAGGATAGATAGACTTTCAAGGATTTTTCAAGGCGGTGGGAGCTCATAGCCTGGAACGAAGCACGGTTGTGCTTGGTTTCTCGAGCCATCCATAAAATCGCGCTTCGTTTCATGCTATGCGCGTCCATGATGCCTTGGTTGGAGTCGCGTTGTTTCAGCTGGCGCCTGGATTGATCCATAAAGAACTCCTGGTCTTGTTTAATGGAATGTAGCTTTTCCTTGGTGAATAGTGGTTCTCTCGTTTAACTCCGATGCTGCTCAGAGAATAAACGGAGCTCTTGTAACGAGAAGAAAAGAAAAGAAAAGAAAGAGATGGTAGCTCACCTCTGATTCCGATATGATCTTTCAGCTCAGCTGGATGGTCTCCAGGAAGTTTTCTGGGCGGCGATCAGCTGCTCCTGCTCCTGTGTGTATGACACGCGGATTTCCCAATGGAGTGACTTCAGGAGCGGCTCGATCTCCCCCAGAATCGTCGTGGTGTCTCGGAAAATCCCCCAGCCGCCGGGCCTTAAAATCCTGTCCATCTCCACCACCGTGTTGACAACACCGCAGCTGCAAGACCGAGTAAAGATTCCAGGTTTTAGAACTACAGCTAAGTGAGCGAACTCCAACTTTCACTGTTACCTCTGTTTCAAGCGTGAAAACAGATGGTCCGCGTGCAGCAGGTCATACGTGCGAGGATATGTGCTGAAAGACTCACACCAGTCGTGATACTGTCCTATCAAACCACGGTCGGTGATAATCGGCAGTGTATCAGGCTCAGTGACTGGAACCACGTTGAGGACCCAGACTGGGTATCCCACGAGAGCAGCAGCAAATCTGGAAAGTTTACAAGGTTAGCTAGCTGCTAAAGTTGTCTCGAGCTCAAACTTACCCTCCATATCCCGCTTTCATATCCATGACGTTCCGAATTACAGTCCAGTCGATCTCAAGGCCGCGTGCGTAGGATTTCTGGACGACATGCTGCCAGTGTATCGTGTCGGATTCAAACTCTTCCACCGCTGGCTTTCCAAACAATCCTTTTGGAATGGTTCCAAGCCAGTCCGGCGTTGCATTCACCCTCTGGGGCCACTCCTGTGGCCATCTAGTGCCACGGATACCGTCTCCTTCGGGGATCTTGTGAAGACAACTTTGCATGGGAACGTACCTGGTAAAGGAGAGCTCATGAATAAGATAGAGAGAGAGGGAGAACGATCTTGCTTACCATGCAGCATCTCGATTGTCTGATTCGTCACACATAGGTGGCTCGTTCTTCTGTCGTTTCTGGTAGCAAGTGTTGTCTTTGGGCTTTTGAAAGATGGCAATCCCGACCCCTGTTTTAGGATCCCGCTGTTTCACAATCATCTTCCAGCACATATTGTCAGCTAAGGCCTTCGTGTCTGCACAAAACCACCTCGTCAGAGCTTGGATGGTAAAGGCGAGATCGTACCTTTCCATATCTGTACATCTTCTGGTTCGTTTTTGTACACTGGAGTGGCCGACCAGACGAAGTATCCTCCCGGACGAATGAGGCGATTGAGCTCCAAAAGAAGTCTACCACCTGTTTCAAGAAAGAAAATGTTAAGAAAGTCCTTTGAACTATACAAAAATGTGCGTACCATCTACATGCCATGGAACTCTGCAGCGAGCACAGTGTGCGATATCGTAAGCATAGCTAGGATAAACCAGCCTCTGCGTTCCCATGACCGCGAGAATTGCTGGAATTCCACGCTCCAAAGCTAGCTGAACCTGAGCTTCGTGTTCGTCTTTTGGAGCGAATGACATGGTAATAACGTTCTTGTCAAACAAAAAGCCTCCAAAACTTGCGACGCCACAGCCAACATCAAGCACGGTGCGAACGTGCTTCCCCCATGCAATATCTGGAAGACTCTGCAAAACATTTACTCTATTAGTCTAAGCTAGCAACAGACAACAGAAACTTACAATCTGGATGAAGTCAATGTAGCGCTGAGCTCCTTGTTTAAATTGAGTTCCACCGCCAGGAAAAAGAAGAAGGTCGTCTTTCTTTTTCACCCAGTTTTGGTCCTTCTTATACGACACTAATCCAGGATGAGGGACGTTGCTGTACCAGACCTGTAGCAAATTTTGCTAAATCATATGCTCGGAAAAACGAATTCGCATACCTGCTTTCGGCTTTGTGGCCAGTTGACATGAGCCTGGTATCCTGATGGAAGAGGTGCGAGGCATTTTTTAATATCGTCTCCAGTTGGGCAATGCCGCTCCCGGTGCTCGTAGTGGCTTCTTGACCTCAACTTCTTAATAGCTTTCTGGTTGTCCAGGCACGGAATATAATCAGCGGCGTTGGAGAAACTGCAAAGTTTCCACTCCATATCAATTGGCGATTGTTCGGGTTGCTTCTCCTCGGGTTTTTTTTCTGTTTGCTGATCAGCACTTGGAAGAACATCCTCCTTCTTCATCTCCTGCTTGGACTCATTGGCTTGACTTGTCCAAGTGTTGGAAACCTCTTTGTTTTCGACAGTCAGCTCTAACTCCGTTTTGTTTGTCCCCAGCTCCTCGATAGTAGCAGTGTCGGAATCATCTTTCTTCTCCGTGGCATCCTTGCTTTGAGTCTCTTCGTCTTTTTTCTCTTCTTCCTTGTCCTCAACTTTCTTTTCTTCTCCCTTATCCTCATCCTTCTGTTCTTCTTTCTTGTCTTCGTCTTCTTTCTTGTCTCCGTCTTCTTTCTCTTCATCTTCTTTCGCATCTTCTTCCACCGGGGCATCCGAGTCTTTCTTCTGCTCTCCATTATCCACAGGTGTGTCGTCCTTCTTCTCGCCATCAACCTTGTCACCATCTTTTTCGTGGTCAGCTTGTTGTTTATCTTCGAGATTTTTCTCCTCGGTAGCATCCATCTCTTGTTCAAAGTCGGACTCCTTCTCGGACTCCTTCGTCACCTCACCCTCTCGAGCCTCGGACGGAGAATTCTCCCGGGAACCCATCTGTGACGCCGCTTCATTCGTTTGTGGAACAACCTCGGTACCTTGTTCTGACGGAGACCGGAAGAACGCTATGGCGGCAAGGATCAAAATCGCTGCGAAAACGCCCGTGATCAGATAGTACATCGGCGTCTTGCGCCTGTCGCGCATTGGTTTTGCCACCCTCATCTTCGAGCTCCTCGAGTTCCTGTAAGAAAAATATAAGATCTTAAAAAAAAAAAAGGAAAATCAAGGATGGATCGATCTTTCCAACGAGGATTTCGCTCACCGCCAGATCCAAACCCGTGAATGCTGGCACACGGAGCTACATTTTGTTTCCTAGCTACAATGCGCAAGCAATGCGAGCAAAACCCTCGGGAAATACACCCCGATCGATCCAGAGTTTAGCAGCGCCTTACCGGATCTTGCAGCTCCAGCCGATCCGAGAGCTCGCACCTCGAGCGGCGCCGCGGCGATGGGATCCCTTCCTCCTCCTCCTCTCTGTCAGTCACAAATCCTCGAGCTCATTTGGCTTGCTCTAGAGTTTAATAGACAGTACGGTACTGTCGGTGGCTCATCGCTATCTGTGACCATGTGTACGGACGTTGTTGTTCGGAAACAACGTGAAGAGCGCTACTATTTGAATCGAGGATATTCTCTAGGGTTTTATGGCGCCTAAGCGCGTGAACACTACCCCTCCTGGCGATCCAGGAGGCGCCAATGCCGTTCCGGCGCAGCAAAAGGAAGGAGAGGCCGCGGCAGTGGAAGCGCCGCCTCCTCAGGTATGGATTTGTGAAGCTGTGGTAATATTTTGATCGCCCATTGCGTTGCTTAGGTCGATGAAGAACTGGTAATGCTCCAGAAGAAGGCCGGTGCTGGAAAGGCCGAGGTGGACAAACTCAAGTGAGCTTATTTCGCTTAATCCATAAGAATCTAAGGAGTAAGTCTGATATTTCTTTAGAACGATTTGAAAACTTCACAGCTCTTTTTATTTTTGTTTCACTGTAGGCAAATGCTCGACACACTCATGCACGTACAGAGCCAAAATGTGAGGGAAGCTAAGATCATCGAGCTCTTGAAAAAGGTCTTTCTTTTCTCGTATTTCGTTTTCTATTTATCGTCCTTTGCTTGTTTGATCTATAGAATGGAAGCATGGCGAAGAATTTAGAGCGTGAGCGATTGCTGGTGGGACGATTAAAGAAAGATGTTTCTTATCTCCAGAAAGAGGTGAGAAAGGATTGTTTTTGTGGGTACCGGATGGTTTTTTGTTGTATCAGGTTGTTCAACTGAAAGAAGAAGAAAAGCTAAGACCTCCCGAGGAACCCACGGAGGTGGAAAAATCCATCCAAGAATCAAATATATACAGAGACAAGTTCATTCAGGTTTATTTTCCTTGTTACGAACTGCATATGTGTTGTCAATCAAAGCAAGCAGGCAACAGCAAAACTTATGGAGGTCCAAGGAGCCAAAGCTGTGACCTCTGCGGAACTATCCAGGTTACAGCACGCATTGCAACGAGAAGTTGGAAATGTTCCCATTGTTAAGGTGAACGCTTGTATATGGCTGGCTGGCTTCTTTTATTTATTTGTCTTTACAGGTCCTGGAAGGAGGCCAATTCTGGAAGGGTCGGGCGCAAATGATTACCCTGCTAAAGGTCTACGATGCTTATCAAGTTTCTCTCTGTTCTTACGTTGAGTTTACACAGGACAAAGTCGAGGACCTTGAACAGAAAGTCCGGGAGAGAGCATTGGAAGACCAGAATCATGTGTTTGATTTGAAAGAGAATGCTTGCAAGAAACAAATCGATGAGCTCGCTAAAAATTTTCTGGTGAGTTGTGCGTGTGCCGCAAGAGCCGTTTCCTACTAAACTCACGCATGGCAGGCTACGCGAGAGGAGCTGCTAACAACAAAGAAAAAGGTTGATTGCGTGCTTGCCAGAAGGAACATTTTGGAGAACGAGGTGATCTGATATTTTGCTTAGAAAACACTACTAGTTGTTATGTTGCAGATGAACAATGTGAAAGCAAAGATGGGATTGCTTGTAGCGAAGAGTGATAGCGACGACAAACTGATAGTGGCACTGCGTCAGGAATGCGTCGCTTCCAAACTGGTACGTGGTTTTTCGTAACACTCTTCCTCACATCATGCGGTCTTTTGCCAAGGCTGTGGCACCCGAAAGGCTCAAGGAGCGGATTAGCTGCCCCTTGAGAGTTGGCTCATTGCATCGAGAACACCAGCTCGCAGCGTCTTTCAACGATCTGAAACTTCACTGCCGAGAACAGGTGATCTCTAAAGCCAGAGCTTCTGTTTGCTGTTCTAAGCCAGCCACCGTACAGGAGCTACAAATCAAAGCCCAGGCGGAACTAATCGACTACCTACGAGATATCACAGCAGCAACTAGAGGTACCATGGAAGTTTTCCAAGTTCCATACTTTCCACCTCACGTCCTCGTCTTATACAGGCGAAGAGCAACCAAAAGAAAGTGAGCAGTGACAATCCCAGCTTGTTCAAACGGTGCAAAGCTTTCATTTCCATTACTTATGCTTGGGGTCCTCTCCATTCATCTCACCCTTGGTGTCCTCCTCGTCTTCACTATACTCGCTTCCACTCTCGTCTTCCACAACCTCCTCGTCGATCTCCTCCTCGTCTTCCACCCCGTCCTCGTCGGCCTCGTCCGCGGCAGCGCTCAGAGCCTTGGTTGCCACTGCTGGCCGGACCTTCTTGCTCACTTTGAGCTTCACGCTCACCTTCTTGTCACACCCAAGCCAGCAGTCTGACAAGCAAAACGCCGTCAAGTTATACGTCCCTTCCTCCGGTGCTTCAAACATCCCCGTCACCAGCCTGCTGCCTTCCTTCACTCTCTTCACTGCCTCGCTCACTGCCTTCTTCACCTCCGACTCCTCGGCACCTTTCCCTTCCAGAGATTCTTGCGCTGCCTTTGACGCCGATGATATGGCCGCTGCCTCGTCCATGAAAGTGATCCTCTTGTGTACCCAGACGCTGTTCGCGGATGCGTCTCCCAGTAGCACCCAGAATCCTTCCTCCTTGACGTTGGAGTAGTAGGGAGTGTGCGCGTAGGCTGCTGTGAGGCCATTGCCGCGCTTGACTGATATCCAAGCTCGCATCGTCACGGCATCTCCTTCTTGGACGAACTCTTCTCCTTCAGTCCCGCAAGTGACATCGATCGTGACGGTGGGTATCATGTCCAGGACTTCTTCCACGTCTACGATCTGGCCTTGGGAGAAACCGGCCAGGGTTGACAGGAGTTCCTTACGCTCGTCCATTTTCAAGTCCCGGAATTCTTGCAGAGTTCGCACTTTCTGCAAATGAAAAAGAGCACACAGTGAAAAGTAGAATGGCATGCGGGCTAGTCCCTACCTTGCGAGTGAGCTTCTTGTGAACGGAATCGTCGAAGTGTGGGAGCTGCATGAATGCGGCACTCCCTTCCATAAGGCTTGCTCGATCAGATCCCTTTCTGGAATTAAGAGTCACAGCCTGAGACAGAGAAAGAAAAATGTACTTCAAATATCCAATATACAGATAATATAGAAAACAGACCTGAAAGAAGCTTTGAGACAAGTCCATTACTCCCAAAGCAGGCCGAAGCCAGCCATGACCATTTGCACTTCTCGCAGCCAAAGCCATCTAAAAACCAAACAGCAATAAATTAATTGCTTGCAACAGAGTGAGGTTTAACAAAGTCACCTTCATCAGCTCTTCAAGGAGGCGTGGCGTAAGCTGGATAATACGTGCAAAATCCGACGCCAAGCCCGCTGGAACGTCCGCAGAGCTCCTTGTTAAATGTGCGAGCAATAGGAGTTCCGTCTGCCACAACGTAATGAAAACCAAGATACTAAGAAAACGAAACTATTACCTTGACTAGAGCAGGATGCTGCTTCCAAAACTTAGCCTGTTCTTGCTTTAGATTCTTGGGATCAAGGTTAAGTTCGCTTCGTACTACAACAAAAAGCTTCTGCAACGGCTCTTCATCACTTCTACGCACTGGGATTTCCACGAACTCGGCAGCTCTGATGAGAACATCCATCACTTTGCTGCATAGGCCATGCACGCGTCAACGATGAAACTACATCTAGATCCGTTACCTGGGAGCCAGTGATGGTTTCATAAGATAGTAATAGCTTGACAACGTTTGATGCATGATATAGTTTCCAGTGTACTTAGAAGATCGCGATAAATAGACCACCGCAATCAGTAGCGGTAGTAAAATTCCACAACCGACCAGTCCTAGAAGTATAATTCCTCCAGTTGCCCCGTTGATATTGAGCAAAAACCACGGGAGTGCTATTCCCATTTTGAGCCCCTGTAAAGCGAGACGAGGTTACTATAAAGTAGAACTTACGAAAAACTTCGAACCTGTCTGCCATCGGGATGCCCCCATTTCGCAAAATTCTCCCTAGCAACTGGGTCAGTAAGCGCTTGATACGCCTTTGAAATATAATCCACAAAGTAGGCATTGGCCTCTGCAGAAAGCAACGCGTAGATAAAACCATGATGAGGAAATTTGCGCATAAGATTTTAAGTTACCAGGATCCGGATTCTTGTCCGGATGGTACTGCACGGACAGCCTTCGGTAAGCTTTCTTTATCTCAGAATCCGATGCATTCGGCTCCAAACCGAGAATCGAGAATGGCTCGAATGGTTGCGACTGCAAAGACCAAGATAAATGAAAAGAGAAAAAGCAAACAGAGCAAGAATTTACCTCACGAGCGCTGAGCTTGATATAATAAACCAGAAAGATCATCAAGATCCACAAGAAAACCAGTGTGATATTGCTGCATGTCGAGAACCTTCCCAACTGGAACAAGAATTTAACACAAAGAGAGAAAAGAGAGAAGAAGAAAACCAACCTTTCTCCACAACGAGACTTGATACTTGGGAGATTTCGCGCAAAGCGAGCAATGGCAGTGTAAATTCCTCCCCTGCCGCCTCGCAGCTCTGGCAAGCCGATAGATTGTCCACGGCACCACGAACAGGCCCAGCACGGAGAGAATAAAGATTGGAAAAAGGGAGCTCATCTCCTCCGACGCTGCCATTCTCGGGAAAATCTAAGCCTGCTTCCCAGGAACCAATTCCACAAACAGGAGCTGCCGCCTCGATCTAGCTACCTAGCGCCTTGGATCTGCATACCTATCGTATCGATCGATCGCCGAGCAAGCTCGGCGCTCCAAACCCTAGTCTCTCGTTCGTTGACGTAGCCCTCGTTGTATAGGGAGACTTAGTTTGTTAAATAGTACACACAAGAAACGCGCTAACGATTATCTCGATGGAGCTTTGGAGATTTTCTCTTTGCTCCACGAGCACAATGAAATGGTCTCTTTCTTCTTCTTCTTCTTTCTCTGCTAGAGCTTGAGCTCGATCCTTTGTTTTTTCCAGCGATCTTGACGCGATTCGATCAATCCAGCTCATAGTTTGGATTGACGGCAAGAACGCGTTCTTCGATAGCCGATGGCCGTCGCTCCAGAGGAACACCGCTTTCCTCCGCGGCTTTGAGAGCCTGTTCTACGGCCTCGGTTCCATCATCTATGACGATCAGCACGCCTTCTCGATTTATCAAATGCTGCGAAGGAGAAGATGAGAATCGCAGGAAACTTGGAAATGGCGTTCTTCGCTCACCTGGATTACTGCTCTCAAGCGTTTGATGTCTTCGATGAGCTCGTTTACTGAGCTGTATACGTTCTTAGCGTTTTGCTCGTTCAGGTACCATTGCACCAGATCTTTTTGCTTCATGCCAGCTAATCCAACATCTGTGAACAGAGAGATTTTTAATTCGATGCTATGAAGAGAAATGTCTTGTCACCTTCTTGAAGAGACTCCTCGTGCTGCCGCAACCTCAGGACAAGAGCGCGCGTTATTTTCTGGAATTGCTCGTAGCTGACTTTCATTTTCTTTTTTTGAGCTTCGTCTCCCTCCCCCTCTTCCAGTTCTTCCTTGACGGCTGTTTTTCATGAACGTTAGGAAAATTTTCATAAACTTCGGAAAAGTACTACCTGATGGCCCTTCTTCTCCGGTGTCCATGGCTGCAGGCGTTGTTTCATCGGCGGCACCAGTTCGCATACCCGGCCTCATATGCACTTGCTCTAGTATGTCTTGATCGTCACGAACATCACCCACGTCGTCGTCGAGATCGATCTCATGAGAATCAACGCTGCCAGTAGATCAGACGGTTAGATACTTGTCAAAGCGTCTCACAAACTCGGACCTGATAATTGATGTGCTAAGAAGCCGCTTAGCCTCCCTAACGTGGACAGGCCGCACCTACAAGACTGATATGAAAACAAGTACGTTCCAAACATTTAGTACCTGATTCTCACAGTGCAACCGTGCTAGAGCTTCGGATAGCCTGACTAATGCTTCTAGCTGCCGAACAGTAATGCGGTACGCAACTTGACTTCCCGGAACTGCATCGCCATGCCTAAGAGCAACGTATGCTTCCACTAGTGCATCCCTTGCTTCAGGAGAGAGCTGAAAATTGAAGTTCGTAAGCTAAAGACTTAAGGTGACATAAACCAGACCTCAGGTTTCAGATATTTTCCATACGCAATATACCGCTGCAATTCGGCGGTACTAAACTCCGGTGACAATGCCTCTTCCTGTTTTTGATGGACGCTAACAATGTGTCTCGCTATGTTGTAATCGATCTCATCATCGGGATCGTCTATCATAACGTGAACCAGATCAAACCGAGAAAGAATAGCAGGAGGAAGATTTACGTTGTACTGAAATAATGTTCGTCAGCCTAAATCCCGGTTGCAAGCTCGTTACTTGCCTTCAGCGGTTTCGACTTATCGTAGCGTCCACCTGCAGGATTCGCTGCAGCTAAAATAGAAGTCCGCGCGTTTAATGTCGCCTGAATACCAGCCTTCGTGATACTTATAGTCTGTTGCTCCATGGCTTCATGAATTGCTACCTACAAAAACAGATCCATTGACCTTCGGAAATGACTTCGCATATAGACAACAAACCTGGTCCTTGATATCCATCTTGTCAAACTCGTCAATGCAGCAAATACCGTTGTCCGCAAGCATAAGAGCTCCAGCCTGCAACATAGAAAGTGTCATAAATTAAACAATCACACAAAAGGCATACCTCAATACAAAATTCTCCAGTCTCTGGTTCTTTTACCACGCTTGCAGTTAAGCCAGCTGCAGATGTAGACTTTCCAGATGTATATACAGCACGAGGCAGAAAGCCAGAAACATACCTTCAAAAATTCGAAATGAAAATTGCGAGATTGTAACTCAAAGCTTACTTGAGAAACTGAGACTTTGCACAGCTGGGATCCCCCACAATGCACACATTGATGTCGCCTCTAAGTTTAATGCCTTCGTGTGTTTTTTTGTTGACACCACCAAGAAGCATCAACAAAATAGCTCTCTTTATTTCCTGATGGCCAAATACTGTCGGTGCGATGCTATTCACAAGGCGTTCGTATATCTGGGGTAGATGCATCATCTCTTCAATCTTATCCTTCTCTTCTTGCTGTTGAAAGACAAAACCGGAGGTAAGTAACTCAAGTTCAAGAGAAAGCATACCAGATACACAGGAGCATCATCGTCGTCTCCTTTGCCAGCCCGCAAGTCAATGCTCTTTTGTCTGTCATCGGCCTGAAAAACTGATATTACCATACGTCTGACAATATGAGACGAAAGCTGAATTACCTGTACGCAATTTGCAATAAAAGCCAGCCGATACGAGAGGTCACGAACACCTAGAGCTTTCAATCCCCGCACACCTTCAGAGGGACCACCTCTCTGCGAAGCACCTTCTCTACGAGCTTCTGCTCTATCTCCCGGCGCGGACAGTGCTAAAATGTCCGGAATAACAACCACCGTACCAGTAAACGTGCACCTGTGGAGTGGAAAGTAAACGCCAGAGTCAATGAAATGGAGCTCACCTATCTCCAGCTCTTGCTTGCTCTACAATTTCGTGCCGCAAAATTATGTCCAGCGACCGAGGAAGGGAGCCTGCAGGAATCTCTCCGGAGTTTTCCTGCATCCGGACTTTTTGCCAGTCCGCAAACTTGCTCTCCTGGCGAAGTAAGGAAAACCTCTGGCGATTGGAGCAGGTTGCATTGGAGCAAATCAATGGCTGCAAGGACACATCTTTTAGAGCGTGAGTTGAAAAGCCGACTTTTTGGCATACCAAAGTATACTTGAACTGCTGTTCAATGTTTCGGACGATGGCCCCGCAGTCCAGACATCTGAACGCTCCCGACAGCAACTCGGGACGAACCTCGCTTGTCCTGGTGACAACTCCACTTACAGAGACAAGCTTCCCAACTTCCGAAGTTCCAAGCTCCCTCAATCTAGTACACACGACCACTTGAACTAAAGGCCAACAAAAACAATTCATCTGACCTATGCTTTTTGGGAAGATTGTGAAACGCAATTTGGATATCTCTTACTCCATGCTCCGATTTCATGCCCTCTGGCCTATGCCGCATTGCGAACTTACGAACAGCCATTTTCAAAAATGGTTCCATCCTGCAAGACAGATCCATAACTAAAAAGGAGAAACAAAATCCTCCCACAGTACCTGAGAAACTCCTCGCTGATCGACCTCTGGAGCTCGTCATTGTGCGCCATTACGTGCGTGAAATCCACATACATTGTGCTCGATTCTTTGTGCAGCATGACCTCGAGCTCGTACTCGTACTTCTTCACTCGATCCGGGTCCTCGCTTTCAGTAGAAATGCCGGTGTCCTCGTAAAACCTTGAAACACAAGGAATGCACGAGCAAAGTCACTCGCGAGATCTAGGCGCACAAGAATCACAAGAAAGAATGCAGCCACGACGCTACTCACGAGTTGAGAAATTCGTAGAAGAGATCCGCGACGCGCGTGCCCTCCCTGTCACTGACGAGCCGCCGCTCCCTCTCCCTCTCATCGATATCGCCCGGGGCGTCTTCCATCGGAGCGGCAGCTAAAACCCTACTCCCTTTCCGCCCTAGCTAACCAAAAAATGGCGGGAAATCCACGTCGGACTCCTGTCATTACAAAAGTACTGCCAGCGTGGGACCTTTCCGATTGGTTCCAAGTACTGGCAACGTGGGACCTTCCGGTTGGCTCCCAGCCTTTTGATCCAGCTACATGTGGACCGTCCCTTCACACGAAGAGACATCTCCGAAGAACCAGGAAGAACACCCAAAGCGATCACTTGCCATTTTTTTCTTCCTTTTCTTTCTCGATCCGTTTCTCCCCGCTCGTTCGGATCTCTTTTTCTTCGCTGCGAGCATGACCACTGTAGTTGAAGAGGAGGAAGACTGGCCACCGGCAAGAGCCGACTGGAAGTTCTCCTTCACCCCGGACGACCAATACTACGTCGAAGTTCACAAGTTCCGGGTCACGAACTTCATGTCTTTCAATGCCGCTCCACCCCAAGAACACGATCTCCCGCAACTCCTGGAGAAGCACCCCTGTAAGGTAGTCACCCACTGCTACCATAACTGGCACTACTACAACATCGAGCACCGCTACGCCCCTGGAAACTTGGAAGTCTACGTTGATCCCACTGTCTACATTATCACGCTTACCAGCATGACGCACGACGGGCAGAGGAATTGCCGTGACGCCACCAAGTGTCACGACTCCAAGATCATTTACGAGTACGAGCACAACGTTTACGTCTTCTCCCCCTACATGATAGACACCACAGTCGACGTTAAAACCAACACTACCATCAAATGCCAGACCAGGCAGAACGGTTGCAGGCTTTACCATCTTCACGGCCACACTCACAGCCTGGTGCTCACCCATGCGGGCTCCAAGGACAAGAAGAGGATGCACAGCTTTGGAATGGTAGCCCGGGTTCACAAGTAGAGTCCCTTGCCTGTAAGCCACAGATGTTTAGCTTCCGACTCCCCTCACAAAATGAAGAAGCTAGCGAAAACAAAAGAAAAGCCAGTGTATTAGTTACAAATAGCACAACTCAACAAGAACCTCTTTATCTTCTCGAGTACTTATTGAACCTGGCAGTAGCAAAACCTGGTGATGGAAGTTGACTCTCTCTCGGCAAGCTTTAACGGAAGTAAGGCACTGGAAGGAACGGAAAGGGCGCTGCAGATGCGTAAGCAATCGGAGGTCGAGTGTAGTCCTCTGGATTTGAGCGCTTTGACTTCTTCTTTTCGAGCATTTCACTTCCGCTTGTCTCAAGTAACGCGTCATTGACGACCTCTAAACTCGTCTCGTTTCCGGAAGGAGCCGT